TGGACCAAACATGCCTGTTTCTTTTGTCCCAGTCCAGATCTGGATGCAGCCAATAATAAGAATGCTCATTTAGCTGCATTTAGCCATTAAGATGTCTTCTGATCAGAATATTATACATGCGATTATTTAACAGCCTGTGTGTGATGTTCCGTTTACACACAGTATGCTAGCGATCACATGTTAGTAAACATGGCAGTCACACAATCATGTCAGTTGTTGCTCGTCCATTGGAGCTGTGATTTCTGAATCACACATCCACACAAACAAAAACCCAACTCTGGTCAAACATCTCTCGTACCTTACACCATCCATTTCTTTCCTAAATAACTTAAATAATCTCTCGTCTGTGAGTGGCTGTGTGCAGGTAAACCCATCTGGTTACATTAATGTGTAATGTTTGTGTTGCCTGGCAACAGCAGGAAAGAAAAACCCAAATATCAGAGCTGAGACGTTATCTCACTAATGTAATTGCATTGAATAACAGATCCAATTCCACTAATGGGGAAGGTGACTCTTACTCACAGTGACTAAAAATAGGACGCCTGGTGTCCCCAGGTTCCAGTAAAGTCAGGGGTGATGGCTGATTTTAAATGAAAATGAACGTTTTAATAAATCTTGAGGAGCCTTTTCAGCGAGTTGCTCTGGGGCACAAACACGACAGGATTGCAAATATGAACCAAATTTACGTCACCAGGTATGTCACATGTGGAGATAGCGGTGCAAACCTTTTTTTCCTCTGATCATCATTCCTTTTTTTAGAAATTGTCAACAAGTTGCCAGCTTAGCTCGACCAGAGGCAATTAAAATGCTCAGTGAAGTGAGACGCAGGGCAGATGGTCAGGCAAAAAGTGGCACAAGCCAGCTTGATGCACAACTGGTAACACAGGTTGTCTTTGCTTAGGTCTGAGCCCCAGCGTGCCCACCCTCGTGCCAAAAGCAACGCATGTCCGCTGATGAAATAGCTCAATTTATCTTGTGCCTTAAATTGTTGCCATCTATTTCACCAATCAATAAACTGCAAAATGTGGAAGTGTTGAGGAGGCTCAACATCCCACTGTGAAAACCTGGATTTAATTATTTCCATAAGACACATTTACCTATAATGAGCTACGTATTGACTGATGTTTTTTTTAATGAAAGAAACAAATGCAGGAGGAGGTGGCTGGGGAGAGGGAGGTCTGGGCCTCTTTGCTTAGGCTGCTGCCCCTGCGACCCGGCCCCGGACAAAGCGGATGAAAATGGATGGATGGATGGAAAATATTCAGGAAAACCACATCATACAAGAGCTGATGTCACAGGAGCTACACCTTGTTGTGATGGAGGTGTTGCCTGTCCCAACAGCGGTACTGGGAGTTTCTCCCACAGGGTTCAGACTGCTCCTTGGTTTTATCCTGCCAGGCAGTTTTCTTTCCAGGTGCCTAATCAGACTTACCCGTCCTGGAAGACATAAGGTGAATTTAACCTCCTAGGACCTGCGTCCACATATGTGGACATCACAATTTGGGTAATTTAGACCAAAATAGTCAATTTTGCTCTACAAGGGCCTGATATCCACTTAGGAGGACATTATAGTGCTACTGTTCTATCGAAATTTTAAACGAATATCCTCATATGTGGATCTCATTTTTATTAGAAACAAAAATCAGGTAAAAAAAATAAAAAAAATCTGGTAATTCTTTGTTTTTACATTCATCAGGTCCCAATCAGCCCAAATATCAAAGAGAAATTAAAAATGCTGCTGTGGAAGCATTCAGGTCTGAGGAGGTTAAACTAGCGGGCAACAAAGAAAGCCAGCCACACTCTGGGCCGAGGACTAGACTGGAGGATTACTCCTGCAGACTCTGTCACACATCGATTTTGAACTGAACATCTGAAGGCAACAACTTCACTAGACTGTAAAAACTACTCAATCCTGTGGCAGCGTCAGGGACAAAGCAGTAAAGCATAAAGGACACAGGTGGTTTTAATTCAAAAAGGGGTTTTATTGACCCAAAAATATGAAAACATATTTAACAAAGCCAAAACTCAAACAGGCAGACCAATAAAAGAGGTCAACTCAATAGACTAAACTCAAGATAATAATTAACAAAACCTCAAACAAACATATGATAAACTGACCTCCTGAAATGACACACGGGGGAACTTAAATACTGGTTTAGCCAAACCAAATGACACACACGGGGGAAAACAAGGGCTGCCATATAACCAACTAATACAACACAATGAAACAAACATGAAACACCCCCCAGGCAATGAAGCATGTGGTGCAATCCAATTAGGCTGTCAGTGGTACTTCAGGTCTCGCAGCCCTTTGCCACACCTTTTGCCAGACAGGAGAAGCCAACCCCCAGGTAACTCAAACAAAGAAAGATGTATTAATATAACATAAAACAGAACTTTGACCTTGCAAGGTTAATTTGTGTGCACGCCATATAAACACTGGAAGGTGTGATGGAAAAATAAATACATTTAATAAAGAAACAATATTGAACAATAAGTAGAATATTTTAAAGTAGTGACTGTAAATTAAACTAAAGTGAATCAACGGGTGGTGAGGTGTGGAGCTTACCATGTGTGGCATGCCATCACAGGCAGGAAGGGCTTCGTCCCCACGACTGTGCCGTATCACACTGTCCACAGCACACGGGCATACATATTCACATGGTACAAAAACATATCACGATGTCATTGCTATACCATCGCCATGCTTTCCTGTTTCCACAGCAAGGAGACGAGCCCTGCATGGCCTCAGCCTCTGATGAAGATTTCATACGTAGTAAGGGAGCTACTTCAATAACAGAGCCCAGTACTTTTGCTCCAGTTACAGGCCATGTGTAACTGAAGCAGTGCTCAGCTGTACTCCATGTGACAGGAAGAGCAAACTGTGGAGCGACTGATGCAGTTATATGATTGAAAAGCAGGGCTTTAAAAGGCCAAGTTACTTTAGTCACTGTAAAATTAATGTGTTAAGCAATTCTTCTACATGGTTTATTGACAGGTTTTAGGGACAGCACTACCTGGGCTGCTTCTGTTCGACCTATGCTGTGTTACTCCTATTGCCATGACAGGAGTTCATCGAAAAAGGAGGATGAAGAACGCCTATCGTTTACGTACCCTGATAAAGGCTGCACCCGTTCAGTGGCTTTTTCTATATCATCACAAATCATTATCACAAATGTTCTTGAAAGGCTACATCGCCCTCCCTTACTCCGCCCTGATAGCTGACTGTAAGGTTTCTGGAGCCCTTTTAACACAAGTACTTTAGACGAGTTGGAGAAAGAGCTGTGAGTACAGCGGCTTCATCGCCCTCCTGTTTAAACATGACGCCTATTAGAAACACGTTTGCTTAAAGGGAGGGTAAAGGAGCAAAAGTGCTGAAGTGAATTAAATGATTAAGTATAAGATAAGTCCCCTTTGATTCAGGCCAAAACATGACGCCGTGTTGACGATGGTTACGCCTTTTAGCGCGTCCATCCAGGTGTCAGCTCGTCCCTTCTTCTAAAATATTTTTCACCTTTAGCAAAACAGAAAAACACAGAATGGGTTTGAAGGCCTGCATCACCACTCGGGCTGCACAATGTGTAATGTTGATAATATGTTTTTTCATCACAATCCCCTGATTTTAGTGACAAAACTGTTTTGCTGTCACACAAACATAGCCCTACGTTTTCCATGTAGTGGGACACACCTGCTGATGCACAGATCTCTGCAGTAAAATAAATCAGTGCTCTACAAATAATGAATTCATCCATCTACTAAAAGCAGGAGATAAAGTTTTGCACCCCACTCATTGTACCTGCATGATGCATGTGACCAAGTAGGAACGTTTGACGGCCTTCTCTTTTTCCCAGTGTTTTGTGTACAGTGAAGTATCCCCACTCCTGTGTCCATTTTCCAGAAGTCTTCATCCCTCACCGTGTTTGCTGGACACTTATCGTTGGCCAGAGGGAATGCAGCTGCTTTGGTGATTTCAGTGCATCTGTGTGAGCTGGATGGACGGGCTGACGAGCTGCACTGGCTGCTGTTAGACTTTTCACATTAGCAACCGCCGCAGTGTTTTTCTTGGCTTTAATGCATTTGTTGTACTGCAGTCAGTGGTGTGTAACTTAGTCGTGTTGCTTTGCAGACCCACAGCAATCTTTGCACATTATTTCATCTTGGTTGGTCACTTCCCATAAATCCAAAGTATTTCCAAACAACGGATGGCGATCTGCTTCGAGTTCCAAGTTCTTCTCCTTTAGCTGTGATTTTTGTTTCGATGCTCTGTTGTGTATCTGTCTTATCTAGTCGCCATCCAGGAAACTTTAAGCTTTCATTGGCACACGTCATTCGATCATGTTCGTTTAGTTGTGGGAAGCCTAAATGGTGACTGATTGTCCTAAAACTACCAGAATTGCCCTAGAGCTGGGAAATTGGGATTGTTTGATCACTCTTCACTTACATGTACAAGCTTGTAATCATGGGGCAAGAAATGATGTGAGACAGACGGGAGGTCGGTCACTGACACCCACCTATCCGTGCAGGACATTTCACTTTGAAAGCATGGATAGGAACATACTCCCTGAGTGGGCCTTCAGTAAGAAAAAGTCTGAGGTTTGTTAACATGCATAAATGTCTGAGCGGAACAACGTGTGCACGAGCTTAACAGAGGCCTGAGACAGAGGTACTTCAACCATGCGAGCATGGTGGGGGGGTCAGTCAGCTGAAACTTGTGCCCCCCCACCTTTAGACATTAGGCCTTCACAGTACGTTTATGCAATAATAATAATAATAATTCACTGTCTGCTGCACAGTCTTTGTAGTAATTAGTCGTTAATTACATATCGCTGTTAAGTTTGTTAACGGGACTGCCATCAAAATAGACCCTCACCACCATCATCATCATCCCCGCGTCTGTCAGCTCTGATGTCGCACTGTGGGCTGTTAGGCCTCCGCTGATGCACACAGACAGTAAGTCACACCAGCACTAACACCACCGAGGACGATAACGACGCTTTTACCTGGCGAGTACAGCCGTGCTAGCTGTCGGGCCCCGGCGTGCTGCGGTCCCCAGCGAGGCGCCGCGCTGCGTGCAGCCGCCCCATGCTCGTTGCCGTTCGGATCCTCCTCCGCCATGGACCGGTGCCTGATGTCGGTCTCGGAGAGTAGCGACGCCGCCATGACTCTCCCCGCTTTGGGCTTTCAGCTACAAGACATCCACCGTGGAGCTGTCCCGGGCGATAGTGTCACGGCCTCCGGCTGTCGCGGCGACCGAGCGGAGGAGGTAGGCTCAACCAATTGATGCTAGCTGGGATGTTACCGGAGCAGCCTCGTGCCACCCGGAAATACTCACACGGACCTATTTCACGGGGCTGTACCCGCCACTGCTGTGAATGTGCACCAAACGACAACCGGACGGTTAAATGTACCGCGGTTTAGTTCCAAGTGTTCTGCTAAACAAACTTTATTTGTGCCTCCGCTGAAAAAAACAGGTCCTCAGAGTTCACCGAGCTGTCGTCAGCGTTAGGGACCGTCTGCGTTTGGCAGCGACGTCACAAAGTGAAAGTACGATCCGAGTACCTGCAGGTGTAGATCATGTATCTTTAAATATCCATACACACGTTTCTAATTGTTTTAACTGGTGTTGTAGCACTAATGATGGCGCAGTGGTTGTAAGGGTCCGGTGTCAGCATCTGTGGATGTGTTGGCTTCATCCCGCAGTCTTAACATGTGCGCCTCGGGTCATTTATAAACTGGGTGTAAATGATTGTCTGTGTCTCTGTGTTAGCCCTGTGATGGACGGGTGGCCTGCCCTAGTGCAGGAACAAATACGGTAGTTTTAAGGTAACAGTCAGCCAGACATTCAGGAGCTGGAGGACGAATAATAGGACAGATATAGAAATATATGTTTGTTTGTTTGTTTGTTTGTTTGTTTGTTTTTCTTATGAAAAAAGAGTGGAAACGTGCGCGTGTGTGCAGCTATCTCAAAACGCCTCTTGTTACTTATTAGTTGTTTCATATTATTTCTATTCACTTTAATTAAAAAAACCAAAGTTTTTAAAAGCCTTTCCCGTTGGCATGTACTCGTCTCCCACCATCTGTGCTGCAATGGAATTCTCCCATTAGTTAGTTAATGTCTGTGGTAATGGTAAAAAAAGGCTGTGTGCAGTTAGTTTGGTTAGCTGACAAAAGGATAACATACATGTGGGCATACAAACCACATCCCAGTGAGTCTTTTAGAAGTAAAACTGAAAGTGTTCAAGGCTGCACAAGGCCAAACAGTTCAGGAACCAGGATGAGTGAGTGTGATCTCCAGTCCCTCAGACTACACTGCTCTAAGAATGGGTGCAGTTCTGTAGGGTCACAGTTCATCGCTGTATCCACAAATTCAGGTTAATACTGAACCGTGTAATTTTAAAAAAGGACATAAACGAGATGACGAAACATTACTGCCTTCTCTGGTCACAGACTTGATGAACAGTAATCGGGCACAATATTGTCTGACAGATCGATATTCTTTTTAGGAACACCTGATAAAATAACACATTGATTCGTGCCATATAAAAAGTGAGACATGTCAATTCAGATTCTTTGTCAAATATACACTAATGAATCATTTTACATCAGCAGCCTAACCACTGTCATGATAATAAATACTAGTTAATCTATAGCACCAAATCATCAGCCAGTCACCTGTGAGCTACAGCATGGCAGAGCTGCCTGTCACCTGACAAACAGGACATACATGACAATAAGAATAAAATGTGGAGCTGCTTCAGTGTTTCTGTCACTTTGTGCAGATCTTGACTCGTCAGTAATGTTTGTAGGCTGAGTGCATTTTAAAACTGTGCAAACTGCACTACAAGGTGGAATATTTGCAAAATCCTGACGACCTCATGATATTTTGTCTCAAACATTAACCCTATGAATACGTCAGAGCCATTAGGATGAAATTATCGTGTCAGCAACATGTTAACGTTAGACATATAATTCTAACAGCCTCTGTAAACTAATATCCGGGCTGCTCGAGGCTGCTGTTTTCTCTGACAGCTTCAATCAAAATGAGAAACGCTGCTCTGAGACTGAGAGAACCAACAGTGCTGCCTGCTGTGCAGGTAGTTTCCCAAACACGTTCATGGTTACATACAGTTTCAGACTGATGTGGGCCAAAGCCTGGCACAGCCTGGAACGTTATTGTGACACATTTATGAGTGAGCTTGGCTTTAAGTGACTGACAGGTTTCCTTGAAAAACACTTTCTTATATCCAGCTTCTTCCTCTTTGCTGCCGTCCTCCTCTCCTCCTCCTCGCAGCGCAGGTTTGCCGCTACTGAAACTAAACAGAGCTCCCTGAAAGGCTCAGCCAATCACATTGGCCATATTTGTCACATGACTAGGACTCCAGTAGAGCACGTAATTTAACTCTTTCTGCTCCGCTGGGTGAATGCGACGCTGACAGATCGTTTTTTTTTCTATCGGGTTTGATTTTCTTTACTCAAAGAGATCAAATTATTGGTGGGGACACGTCCCTTCCGTCCGTGCCAAATCTACGCCCTTGCTTGTCACCCATTGGATTATTGCTGGAGACATTTTTAATGCTGGCTTCAAGTGCAGTTATTCTAAGAAGGAAACAAAACTGTGCAAAGTTTATGAAACGTTACTGCATTACTAATATCAACTAGAAGTGAAAAAATGATGAACCTCTCACTCCTTTATATTTTGCATCCAAACAGCCGTACCTTTTCAAATTAAAGTCTGCTAATAGTTCTTTTTGAAAGTCTTTCGAAGTTCTAGACATCAGCTGCTTTTTCACTCATATTCAGTCCTCGTGCTGGATTTTTGTTTGTTTAGAGCATAAAAAGGCAGTTAATTGAAAGGATGAACCAGTGTTGTGTCTTCACATAACAACATTAGGCACGTTGTTTCTAGTGCCCTGGTGCAAAAACACATGGAAAAATCTGAAAAGATGCAAAAGACAACAGACTGACAGGCATAAAATAGAAGTGTTGCACCAACAAGGTGATTCCCAAAGAACTGTTAGCTAAACACCTGCTATATCTCAGCGTGATGTGCAGTTTGCCCTTCAGAAAATATGAACGACCTGGACAGTTGGAGGAAAAAGAAGAAGTGGCATGTCTAAGAGAATATTTGCGCCAGGTGAACAATATCTGGAAGTCATGAGAGAAAATTCAGCAAAGACCTGACATGGATTCAGAGACGCATCTGGCCCTTCAGCTGATCCATCTCCTCTTCATCAGAAATGGTCTCAGTGGGAGGGTGGCTGTGAAGAAGCCATCCATAAGGAAGGAGCACACAAAGGCTGAGGTGTGCCAAATTACACAAGAGCCAGGCTGAAACTCGGTGGCTACAGATCCTATGGAGTAATTCATCTGTGTTCAAAATATTGGAGGGAGGGGATCATCAGAGAACTATAACTGTGGGTGTCAGTGGAGGATCGGGCGTGGTTTGGGGCTGATGTTGGGGAAGTTGTTTGAATGATCAATGCAGAAAAGTGCAGCCAGATTTTGATCCATCATGCAACACCATGTGGAAAGAATCTAAATATTTTAGCACAACAATGATCCCAAACATAGAGTATATTTACATGTGTGCTTCCCCATGTTTCAGTACAAATATAAAGAAATGAGGGGCAACTCAAGACTTTTGCACAGTGCTACATGATTTCAACACACATCAATTCCATTGTAAAAAGTCACTGTGGGTCAGCAGAGGAAAAGCTTGATGAAAGCAGCTGTGTTAAACTGTCAGTGCAGCCGGTACGAGGTGCAGAGTGAACGGCTCCACGGCCCTTTTTGAACGGAGCCTTCGGCCTCGTTGTCCCATTCTTTCAGCCCACACGCACTGCATGCTCGAGACACGCACACCAAACCACAATATCTGTACCTGGTCATCACCAGTGAGACGTGTATGATTCTCAGCCGTGTCAGGCTAATTATCTTACAATGCGCACTGCTGCTGTTGATAAGTGTGGTCATCATAAACCTCGTTCTTGTGTGCGTGACCTTAGATGAAACTCGACACAGATGGTCCACTGTGCCTTTTTTCAAACAGATCTATTCACAGAGGATTGTTTCCAGGTGTGATCAGTCCAGCTATCACCTTGTGCCTGAGCATAATGATAAAGGCCAGATTATGCCGTAGTCGCTTGTCTTTGTGCGCCGAGCCGAATGGCTGCATCGTTTCCAGCGCAGTTCTTGGTCACTCTCTGTGTCGCAATATCAGCAAACACAGCACCCAAGCAAACTCATAAATCACATCACACAGCAATTCTTTATTTGTCATTTATTTATTCCTTTCATCTTTTTTCTGTACTAGATTATTGCAATCTGGTTAATTCACATTCAAAAAGCAGTCGTTGACCAGACGCATTGAAATCGATGATATTTATTTTTTTACAATAACCATTATAGGCCCCATAGAGACTGGAAAACCCAATCCAAAAAAAGAAACATCTGTATGGTTTTCTGCACTTTATTTTTGTTTTCATGTCTTTTTGTTTTCATAGTAATTACAAAAAGGAAAAATATATATAACAATAATCATAAAAAGGATCGTTTTAGGTAGCGGTTTAGGAATATTACGACTGGCAAACAATCACAACACAGCACAAGTACCTACTTACTGCAAGAAATGAAAGGTACAAAAATGAAAACAAAAGCAAAGAAGCGCATATGGAAAAGGAAAAATCAAAGAAAACGAATACAATAAGTGACCGAGGGGACGAGAAAGTACAGTCTATGAAAAAGCAAAACAAAAAAATCCCAAAACAAAGGCTGTTTTCTTGCTTTTTTCCTTTTCTATTCATTAAAAAATAAAATAAATTGCATGACCTGGGGAGTGATTGGTGGGAGGGGGGAGACGGGGCGGACGAAGAAGCTGGTGGGGGTTTTGGCGGGACAATAAAAAATACTGCACGTACAATACCTTGGTTCTCTTTCCTTCAGCTAACGCTCACTGCTTTCCTCACCCACTTTTTCCTTTCTTTATTTAATAGCATATCCCATTAATATTCCTTTCCCCCGCTGCTCCTAATAGCCGCGCCCAGTGGCGCGATCGTTAGAGTTTTACATGTGAGTAGCAAATGACACTTTGATTGGCTGTGATGTGGAGATGGGGGTCCCCCGCCGGCTCTGGGTCGGGGGCCCCGGCTGAGCTGCGAGATCCTGCCGAGCCTCGGTCTCACTGCGCGTGCTGACTCAGTGTGTGGTTCTGCAGGGAGAGGGCGAGAGGGAGAGATAGGGAGAAAAAGTGAGAACACATGATGAGAGAAATAATGGGCTACATGAGCGGAGTGCTTTCCACTTGCCCCCCCACCCAATAATAGAGCAGAAACACAGCCGCCTCCCACAGCACAGACAGCGAGGCCTCCTCGCTCCTCCATACGCCGGCTGACGAAAGACGAGAACGGGAGAGAAACGACTCTGCAACGTACCGGTCGGTGCAGCGCAGAGCCTCACGTGTGCTAACGGGAAAACAACCGAGGGAAAAGAAAAATGGCAGTTTGAAAGCAATTTAAACACCAAGCTCAACAATAGAGC